TGAATGGTCCAGGCCTGGGGCGGTTGAGGTAGGCCTCCTTGAGAGGTTAAGGCCTGGGGTGGTTGACATGGGAGAAGACAAACCTGACCGAGGTGTGCTCTGTGAAGTTGCCAGTATTTTCCAGTTAAACTGAGGAGATACCATGCTGGGTTCTGGCATGGGTGGAGGACAAGTCACAGGATCCAGAGGAAGAGATGGGTAGGAAGGTGCCCGTTGTGGTGGTGAATGGCGTCTTCCAGTTGTCAAGGTCTCTGGTGGCCAAGTATTCACAGACGGCTGTGACTCAACTGGTGAGGAATTCAGCAGGACAGGTGACAAGGGTTTAGAAACTTGGAGCAATAGGTGTTCATTGTGAGGAGCAGAGGAAGTCTCTAGGGATGAATTGGTGGCCACAGACTCCCCTGTGGGCTGCCTAGGTGGCAGGTGGGCTTTGGCAGCATCTGGTTTGAATGCTTCACCTGAGGCATCTTGTTTTAATTGCTGGCAAATACTGGTGTTGACAAGCCTCTCCTGCATGCTGTGAGAGACAGGAGATATGATTGCAGCCAGGAGCTCATGGGGCCAGGAGGTAGGGCAAGATGAATAGGGGAGGACCCTCACAGCCCAGCCCAACCACCGTTCCACACTCTGCTCTTTATGAGACCTTGTTCTCTTAACCTCAGGACTGTACTCACATCCCACCCATCCAGAGAGCCCCTATTCCCAGGATAACCTCATGCCCTGGTCACGGGTGATCACATAGCAGGCAATAGGAGTGAGCCAGAGAGAACTGGAGATGGCTCACCTGTGCAGAAGTGAACCCAGTACCTTGTCCTCCTTCGGTTTCTTCCTGCTGCCTCTGTAAGCTGGAAATGGAGACTGGGTTATTGGCGGGTATAGGAGGGACGCAGTATCTTACCGGAGACTGAATGGGCTGTCCTTCCAGAGAAATGAAAAGTTAAACAGGAGCTCTGTTATTTGTGAGCAAGGTCGGGTGCCCAAATGCATGGGGAGCAAGGCACATGTGGGACAGGACTACACCATGAACCAGGCGCCTCCACTTCTATTGACCTCCATAGGTGTCATTATCTCCCTGTGGAGGGCAGGGAATGACCAGGGCTCTGAGAGAGGAAGTTGTCTCAGAGAAGAGGCAAACAACCAATTTACCTGCAAAACAGGCAGCATGGCGCCACTTCATCCCATGGCTCCACGTCATCACATGGCCCCACTTCCGGCCACACCACCCCTCCCCAGGCAGTACCCAGTCCTGGCTGTCCATAGCTTCATTCTGAGCACAGAACCTGGGAAATGTCTTCAATTCTGGGCTCCTCCCAGGGGCTGCCTCCTCCAGGGCCCTGTAACTCATTAGTGTTATCACGGGGGGTGGGGGGGTGGGGGGTGAAGTCACCTCGCCAGGGGAAGGAAGTAGCCTACCTTTCACAGTCCTGATTTGCTTCCTGGCCTTGCCGTGCTCCCTCCTTGCCACCTGACAAAGAGAGAAACACCTGCTGCACCATTCACGTATCTATAATGTGGGCAAATGTGTGTTCTTTTTCTCTCAGAAAACGCAAATGGGGGCTGTTTCTGTGAGATCCACCATGGATGTCATTGATCAAAGTTCTGCTGAGGAACCAGAGGCTCAGCTCTGAGCTACCAGCAGTCACTTCCTGATGTCCTGAAGGTTATCGCCCACTTCATATCAGCTGGATGAATCCTATAGGCATGTATGTTAGAGGGGAACACAGAAACCATTGCTCAGAACCTTTCCTTTCTCAGAGGTTGCTAACCAACCCAGGAACACCGCCCCTGACCACTGAGTCACAGGGTCTCTCCCAGGTATGGATGTTCTGAGAGCAGACATCTTGGAGCCCACTCTCCCCTCTGCCCTACCTGCCAGTTCTCAAGAGGATGGGGTTCTGCTCCAGGCTGAGATCCCCTGTCAGCCACCTCCCTATTTGATTTGGAAAGTGAAGTCTGGAGAGAGAGGAAGCTATTCTTGGTTGGTTTGGGCCTAAGGCATACTTACATTTTTGGTGGTGGTGTTTTCTCCTAGGGGAGGTGAGGGTGAGTCAAGGGGGAGGAGGGGTAATAATAGGCGGAAGAGCCCCAGCCCGCACACAAAGGCAAAGATTATGTCTATTGCCCAAGTGGTGGAGCTGGGGGTCAGCCATGAAGGATCAACGCTTTCCAGAAGAGAGAGAAAATTCTCCATCTGAATCGCACTGCTGCTCTCAGGCAACTGAACTCTGAGAGTTCTTTCTGGGAGTTGGCAGCTGGGTCCAGGCTGCATCATAGAGCTCCTGTCTCCCTGTCACAAAGGGCTCCTGGGTGTGGGGGAGGGGTGCTAGGAAGAGCTGACCAAACAATCACTCCCTGTCCTCCAGCCTGGATGGGCTTCCTCCTCCACAGCCTTTTGTGTCTGTTTCCAATTCCATCTGTACACTCCATCAGAAATAGCGTCTTGTCTACTTTCTCTTCCTCTTCTACCCCTAGAGAGAGACTTGTCTGTGTTCTGTGGGCTTTTGAGACCCCCAAGTCACCTCCAGTGACAAACCTCCTCCTAAAGGCCCCATCTCCTAATCCCTTCCAAAAGGTCTACCAACTGGAGACCAAACACTCAAATATATGTGCCAATGGGGTTTATTCCAACCACCGCCTTCCAGTCTCTGGCCCTCCATACGCTTGTAGTGATATCATAAAGCAGGTTTCACTTCGTCAAAGTTCAAAAGTCCCCATATGTAAGGCCTGCGTTACTCTCAGTACAGGTCCCACGCCACTGTAGCACTCACCAGCTGGACTATAGCCTGAAGATTGAAAGAACACACAAGAGACCTGGGTCATTTCAAAGGAGATCAACCAAATGCCGTTTATTCAAGCTCAGGGGAAAAAAACATCACTAACTCCTGCACCCTGGAATACCCCCAGGCAGGTGGGAAATTTCCATGCCCAAAGTGGAGTCAACAGAGTCCCTATAGCTAATCACCAGGGGGGCAGAGGGACTATAGGAACAAACAGGATGTTTAGCTGGCTGGCCAGAAACTGTCCTCAAGATGAAACCCGGGAGCAGGGGTAGTAGACCCGTGGGCCTTATACCCATAGGCTCTCAGGGTCTCAACACTACTTTAAAGTCCAAAATCTCTTCCAAGACTCAAGACAATTGTAAGCTCAAGTAAAAGCAAAACTCAAATTCCATGTGCCCACATACAATGTCACAGAATACACATTCCCATTCCAAAAGGGAGGAAGGAGGGTGTTGTGAGGAAATACTGAACCAAAGCAAGACAAGAACCCAGCAGGGCAAACTCCAGACTCTACATCTCCATGTCTGATATCAAAGGGCTCTTCAGCTCTCCAGTCCTCTCAGTTGACTGCAGCACACTCCTCTTGGGCTGTGTCCACCTCTGTTAGCAGCTCTCCTCGGCAGGGATTCACGGCTCTGGCATCTCCACCATCCTAGGGTCTCCAAGGCCTCTAGGCTTCTCCTTCATAGCTTCACGTATTGGCCTCTCTAGGCCTCCATGCAGGGACAGCCCTGACTTATGCCTGGTCTCAGCAGCTTTCCTTAAGCACAGAGGATGATCCCACAACCTCTTACTTACGTTTCCTTCGTGACTCTAACGCCGAACCACAAGGCCAAAGTAGCCAAGCTCTGCTGCCTGATTCGCATTAAACCTGGAACCTGGACCCTTCTTGAATTGTATTGGCATAAGCTTTGATTTGTCGTTGCTCTTTAGGGATAAGACATTCCTTAAGGCCTTTTCTTCTCACAAATTGCAGGATTAGCTGGCTGGGGTCTTGCCCTGTGGGGACCCCTCCCTTTACTCCATTCCTCTTTATCTTTTTCAGCACCAAGCAAGTCTCCAATATTCTATTTCTTGTGCTCTTTGTCCCCTTCAACTGTACACTTGTATTTCCTTTTGCCCTGATTGATTTTTTCATTGTAGATATGCATAGCAATGACTGATCTCTAATATGCACACAACAGAGACAATAATAAACTGGGACAAGGACAAAAAGTACCCATGTTTGTTTTTTTTTTTCCTTTTTCTTTTTTTGCCAAAACACCACAAAAACTGTCTCTAGCCTGGTTGCTAATATCATTCTCTTCTGGATTTTCTTGATCTGGGCCTCTGTAGTTCATATTGGTCTCAGGACTACTGTCTTCCAGACACCTTCTAGGACTTCCCTTAAAGCCTTGTTTACAGGATTTGGCCACCTTCATAGTCCAAAGTCTTCCACGTTCCTCTAAAATATCCAGCATGGTCAGGCCTGTGGCAGCAACTCCCCACTTCTGGTACCAACTTCTGTCTTAGTTTCTTTTCTATTGCTGTGAAGAGACATCATGGCCAAGTCAACTTCTAGACGAGTTTATTGAGGCTTACGGTTTTAGGTGATGGCTCCACGGCCGTCATAGTGGGGAGCAGGGCAGCAGGCAGGTAAGCATGGTGCTGAATTGGTAGCTGAGAGGTTGCTTCTGATCAACAACCAAGAGGCCCAGGGGTGTGGCACACTGGTAGTGGTGTGGACTTTTGAAACTACCAAATCCATCCCCAATGACACACCTCCTCCAACAAGGCCACACCTTCTAGCCCTTTCCAAACAGTTGTACCAACTGGGGGCCAAGCATTCAAATACATGAGCTTATGGGAACCTGTCTCATTCAAACCATCATAACAGTGGGATTTTTTTTTTACCCTAAGTCTACATTGCAAGTAGGGAAGAGCTGGCATCTTTGTAATGTGGAGTCTTCTTCTCTGTGTGCACATGAAGCAAGCAGTTCCCTCTGACTCCTTCAGCCACAGTATTGTGCTTTTCCTCATATGGATCCTGTGTGCATTTTTAGATTTTTATTTGAATACTTAACTTGGAGCTAGTAAGATTCATGTTTCCAATTTATTTCATCTGTTCATAGAAGGAAGAGACTGCTTTCTATTTATTAATCTTTAAACTTTGTAGTTTTGGCATGGCAGCTTGTCCCTTCATGATATTTTCTTGAAGATTCAGTGAGAGTTGTTGTAGGAAATTATTTTAGGGTGTTTTGCTTTTGCTTATGTTGCATTTGTTTAATTCTGTGAAGCTGTGATTCTTTGCCTTTTTAAAACACCTGATGGTTTAATAAAGAACCAAATGGCCAATAGCGAGACAGGAGAAAGGATACACAGGGCTGGCAGGCAGGAAGTATAAATAGAAGGAGAAATCTGGGAGAGAAGTAGCCAGAGAAGGAGGAGGACATCAGGGACCAGTTGCCCAGCTACACAGCAAGCCAAGGAGTAAGAAAAAGGCATAGTTTTAGTATGTTAGTTAAAACCTTTGCCTTTTATTTAGAAATATGGATTGATTTAAAATGTAAGAGTTAGCTAGTAACCAGCCTGAGCTATTGGCTGAACATTTGTAATTAATAATAAGTCTCTGAATGGTTATTTGGGAGCAATTGTCAAGACACAGAGAAATTTGGCCCACAAATGGTGCCCAACATGGGGCACCTATATCCATATAAGACCCAAGAAAGTTTTAAAAAGTTCTAAACACATAAAAACAGAGTCAAATGTGGCTTCTTAATCCCATGTCTCTCATGATGGCCACAGTAAAGAGACATATCTCCTGGAAGCTGCCAGAACACCATGAGCTAAGTCACATGACCTATTCCTACAGTCTCTCACATGGGCCACAGTACAGAAAGGTGTTTGCCAGCTGCTTCCTGTGGGCTTAAGCCGCCAGCATGAGCTCCACCAGAGTGCTGGATGGCAGATTTGGGGTTATGATCATGAAGACAGAATAGGTTAGAGAAGCTCAGTAAAGACAGATCTGGGTGGAAAAAAAATCTCTAAATGGGTTACAGTGTGTTTAAAGATGTGCAAAATCTTGGAAGAGAAAAGAAAAAGGATATAGACAGTCATAGAAAAATATGTAATTGTAAAATAATAAAATCCTTAAAATGGTGGAAAGTAATATTTTTTAAAAAGGCCATGTAAAAATAGAAAACACACAGAAAGTCTGAATTCTGTATGTTATTGTGTTGTCTTTACATTTTCTGATTGCTAATAAAAAAAACAACAGGTGCTAAGGCACATTGGATTATAGAAAATGTTACATTAAACCAACCTATATATTTTAAAAATGTCTTGACTTCAAAATGGAAGTCAAAAGATGTTATTTGAGGGAAGAGGTTATACTTTTTATTCCCACAGGAGATGAAAGGCTGTGGATTTATTTCAGGTTGATATTTATCAGGTTTGATTGGTGAAGATAGTCTGAAAATCCTAACTACAAACATAAAATAATAAACCTAGAAGAACTACAAGACATATGATGTATATTTTACTTGCTCAAATAGAAAACAAAAAATATTTTTGGCTGACTTATGTACAATGCACAGTTTATGTTTGTATTAATACAGATATGTACATTACCTTTAAAAGTTTATGTATTTTCAGAGCAAGGAGACCAGACACTAATAAAAATAGATAACCCAAGTGATCCAGCATCTCACTTCTGTTACAGTTTCCTCAGCGTTCTGCATCCAGAACAGCTTTAAGGCTTCAAGACTGCTGACTGAGATGATACAGCCTCACAGAAGGCTCCAGCCAAGGTTTAACAATTATCCTGACTTTTCTTAAGGTTCCCGAAAGATTCCAGCATCCCAGGACAACAGGATGTAGGCTAGAGAAAATGAGTTATTGATGTTTGTTATCATTTAAGAGGGTTGATAACAAATTGTTGTTGGTCTTAGTTTTGAAAAGAAAGGCTTAATAAAGGTGTTACATTCAGAGATCTTTTTCTAAAGGAAAAAAGGGATATGATATACAAATGATAAGGGGGAAAGGATAGCTTACTGAATCTACTTTAATCTAAAAACCAACTATTAATCTCAAAATATTTTACACTGATATGGATTTTGGTTTACTGACACAAATTCAAAGTTATTTTTTCTATTTTATGCATGTTTCTACTGTTGTTTGTGTTACTGTGCTTATACAGCTCATTTAAAATATAATGTGTAATTAAAAATACAGGTGAGTAGTTAGTCATCTAGAATAATCAAACTTGTAGTCATATTAGATATGTTTTCAAGGTTAAACAGATAAATAGATGGTTTCCAAACACTTCAAAGACCTACAGAATATGGCATTTAAAATGTTTCAATGACATAAGACATTTCCTGACAGTGAAACACACCTGCTCCTGGCAGGTCTACTACTTTACAAAAGGATGATGGGCATCAAAGAAACTCCATATGGAGTTTCCTCTTTTTGTAGCGAAAGTTAACCCTGTGGACAAAAAAACTGTTCTTGCCTCAATTGCTGACAATCCAAACTGGACCAGCAGGATGCAAAACAAAACAAAAC